GTGCAAAGGAATAATGAACTCTGTGCGCAATGTTGTACCGGACCCTTCAGGTGGCAGACAACGACAAACGCGGCCCGAAGGCTGAGGAGAAATGAGGAGGTATGGAAAAAGGAAATAAAAAAAAAACGACTCTGGCAGGACTTGAACCTGCAATCTCCGGATGACTACTCGGAAGCTGCTCCAGGAGCAACGGACCGTAGACCGATGCCTTATCCAATTTGGCCACAGAGCCGCGAATTGCGTTGGTACTCGGGCCAAAATCATCAGTATTTAAATGATGATGGTTACGAAGTTACAGGTGTGCACGTGTGCACGTGTAAAATTTGAATAAAATCACCCCCCCCGTGCACGTGTCGACAGATCGGACACACCAGACTCTCCGGCGAGACTCAACACCCCACTTTCCCAGAAAACACCACCAACCCCCTTCGACCGAACAACAACACTATTCACAAAAAAATGCAGGAAAGCTTGCGGCAAGAGACGGGACCAAGTAGAAGACGGCGAAAGATACGGTCTCCCGATGTGTTCATAAGCCATGCTGGCCCGGACAAGCTACTCATCGCACGTCCTCTTTCCGAGAAATTGCAAGCTCAAGGTTTAAATTGCTTCCTCGACAGGACAGCGATGGAGCCCGGAGACTGCGGAGAGGATGAAATGACTCAAGCTATGGAGTCTGTGAAGGTCGGTGTTTTCATACTTTCTCCCGAGTTTGCGGCTCGAAAGTGGACGATGAGGGAACTGCGTTGCTTCCTACGCCGATTGAGAGAGGCGAGAGGGAGTGGGATGCGACCACCGACATTGATTCCGGTGTTTTACAGACTAAGTATTCGTGAATGCAGAGAGTTGGAGCCCAATCGGTACTCGGATGATGAAGGAAAGAATATTTTTGAAGTTGAGAAGTTTTTTAGCGAGGAACGACAGCACGAAGCGAGCACAGATACGGTGAAGGGGGAGCTACAAGAGCTGGCAGGTATCACTGGGATTGAAAATGACGAAAGGGCAACGAACCTGCTGGAAGATGAATTCGGCCATCTTGCAAGGGAACGTCTTGTGAAACGAGTATCTCGGTGGGTGAAAATGAAAAGTGCGGAGCAAGAAGCCGATCGCCTTCACGATCGTATTGTACGACCAAGCATGAGCATCGATACTCGCGCGGCAGTCGAACAAGAAGCGGACCGCCTTCACGATGGTGTTCAACAAGTAAGCGCGGCCGTCGAGTCGATCAGGGGAGGAAGGGGTGATGTGTTCAAGGCGGCAATAAGAACCGAATGTAATCCTGCGTCGATATGTGTGAAGCTTGATTCTAAGGGGAACGATGGATCACCGAACACGTGTGAGTCGCGTCTAAAAGCGGCTGTGCTACGGAGAGATAGGAACGAGCAAGTAGGTGCGACAGCAGTAGGACAGGGCGGAGTCGGGAAGACATGTGCCCTACGAGCGATCGCACACGACGGTGAGATTAAGGCGGAGTTTTCGGGAGGAGTGTACTTCATGTCGTTGGGGAAAGATGGAAACGTGGGACGGGTGATTGAAGAACTGTGTCTGATTGTGGAAGCGTCCGGTGGCAAGCAGACGGCTGCGGAAATGCGAGAGCAGAGCGAGTTTGAAAGGGTGTTAGTGAAAGTACAAGCGTGGTTTTGCAGTCATGTGTGTCTGTTCATCATTGATGATGTGTGGGTGGTGAATGATATAGAGGCGAATATCCTTCAAAAGTTGTCTGTTCTCGCTGACACTGCGGGGGGCAGCGGGGAAAGGAGGAGCAGACTACTGTACTCCACGAGGGATAGGGAGCTGCGTCAGCTTGGGGAGCGGATTGCTTTCGAGCCGAGAGAGACAGAAGGGAAAGAAGCAGTTGACATGCTAGTGCACGCGAGTGAGGCGAATCGAGGGGAAGTGGATGATGCGAGATGCAAGGAGGCCGTGAGTGAAATACTGGAAATGTGTGGCGGATTGCCGCTTGCCCTGAATGTGGCAGGAACGAGTGTGAGGTACATGAGGGAAAGATGGGAGGGAGAAGTATCAGAAGCATGGGGGGAGTACCTTTCGAGGATGAAGAGGCGTAACACGATTCGTGGGGAGAGTCCGAAGGACGGATATTCGTCGTTGGATGGGACATTGCATACGTCACTAGATATCCTGGAGTCAGATGTGGGAAGGAGTGGGGAGACATTTGGTGATATTTCGTTTCGAAAGATACACCGGAGTCTGTGCGTTATGAAGAAGCAAGACCGGATACCTTTGAGTTTGGTTGGAGATTTGTGGGAGCTGGACGAGGTGGAGACGGAATGGTATGCAAAGGAGATGGAAAGGGTTGGATTAGTGGAACTGCAGTATAAGAAGGGCTGTGGTGGGTTGCGGGTGCATGATCTGACGCACGATTTTGCGGTGGAAGAAGCGAAGAAGAAGGAGGGTGTAGAAGAGTGGTGTAAGAAGATGGGGGATGTATGCAGGCAGGGAAGAGGACTGCTTGCTATAACTGAGAGTGAGGGCAGAGAGAGCAAGGATGCAAGAGAGAAGTATGTTTTCGAGAACATATATCGCGTTCTGAAACAGGGCGGGTGTGTGGAGGAGCTGAAGAATCTATTTTTGAAAGCGCGATGGGTGAAGACAGTGATACAGAGAGGAAGTGTGTGGCAATACGAGGAAGCTGTAAAGGATCTAAATATCTTGTTGAGGAACACGGGAGGAAGCGAGAGCCTTTTAAGGGATACGGGAGAAGAAGATTCGGTGTATGCGATGGAATTGATGATGAGAGCTGCACGACTGAGTGTACCTTTTTGCGGTGAGGGCAGTGCAGGGATTTACTTTCAACTGTACGGAAGAATCAAGCACAGGGCACCAGAATTAGGTAGTGTGCAAAGAATACTCAAGGAAATCGAGAGATACGCACCACGGCCGTGGGTGCGACCTGTGGGTGAGTGTGTAGCGTGAGCCGGTGGAAGGTTGGTGGAGCAGATTGTTCTGCCATATTTCGGTTCCAGAGAAATTCAAGTGGGCATGGATTCCAGTGGTCAAGTGTATGGATGTCAGGTGAAGGAGTCCGGGGCAGAAGTAACGGTTTTCACGCAATCTGCTGAGAAGGAGACGAAGATGGTTCGATTAGAAGGCGAGTTCGAAACGGAGAGCCAGAGCCCAGGGGACGTTGAAGCAAGAAGTGTAACCTCCGAAGTGACTGGACAAAAACGGAGCGTGACGAGAGCTACCTGCGCAACTTTCTGTGAGAGGAAGGGGTATGTTGTTGTGGGATATTTCGACGGGACGTTAAGGCTGTGGAGTACGTCGGAGAAGAAAGTATTGAGAAGTTTCCACGGTCATAGGTCGGAGGTGCGTTGCGTTGCGATGAGTGGGGACGAAAGACGTGTGGCATCTGGAGCGCGGGACAAGAGTGTGCAGGTGTGGGACGTGGAGACAGGAGCACAAGTCGGGGAGGCGTTAGTTGGACACACGGATTGGGTGCGTAGCGTTGCGATGAGTGGGGACGGAAGACGTGTGGTATCTGGATCGAGTGACGAGAGCGTGCGGGTGTGGGACGTGGAGACGGGAGCACAAGTCGGGAAGGCGTTAGTTGGACACACGAGTGATGTGAATACTGTTGCGATGAGTGGGGACGGAAGACGTGTGGTATCTGGATCGTTTGACACGAGCGTGCGAGTGTGGGATGTGGAGACGGGTGCACAAGTTGGAGAGGCGTTAGTTGGACACACGAGTTCGGTGGAGAGCGTTGCGATGAGTGAGGACGGAAGAATTGTGGTATCTGGATCCGGGGACAAGAGCGTGCGCGTGTGGGATGTGGAGACGGGAGCATAAGTCGGGGAGGCGTTAGTTGGACACACGGATCGGGTGGACAGCGTTGCGATGAGTGAGGACGGAAGACGTGTGGTATCTGGATCGAGGGGCAAGAGTGTGCGGGTGTGGGACGTGGAGACAGGAGCACAAGTCGGGGAGGCGTTAGTTGGACACACGGATTGGGTGGTTAGCGTTGCGATGAGTGGGGACGGAAAACGAGTGGTATCTGGATCGTTCCACAAGAGCGTGCGGGTGTGGGACGTGGAGACAGGAGCACAAGTCGGGGAGGCGTTAGTTGGACACACGAGTTCGGTGCTTTGCGTTGCGATGAGTGAGGACGGAAGACGTGTGGCATCTGGATCGTTTGACGAGAGCGTGCGAGTGTGGGACGTGGAGACGGGAGCACAAGTCGGGGAGGCGTTAGTTGGACACACGGATTGGGTGCGTAGCGTTGCGATGAGTGGGGACGGAAGACGTGTGGTATCTGGATCGAGTGACGAGAGCGTGCGGGTGTGGGACGTGGAGACGGGAGCACAAGTCGGGAAGGCGTTAGTTGGACACACGAGTGATGTGAATACTGTTGCGATGAGTGGGGACGGAAGACGTGTGGTATCTGGATCCGTGGACGAGAGCGTGCGTGTGTGGGACGTGGAGAGAGGGATCACACTTTACATCGGGAGGGTAGAGGATTTGGGAGAAATCAAGAGTCGGTTCCTGACGACGCCAGAATTGGGTACTGCTTCTCACGCCGGACGAAGATCACAAATATTTTCAAAGGAGGGAGGAATTATTCAAAGGCGAGAGGATGGGTCTGAGGCTGTCTTGGCACAGTTGGACAATCCAGGAGACTTGCAGATAGACCACGATCACGGGGTCGCAGTAGCAAGGTTGGGTCATCTAGTTGCTATCATGAAGCTAGTGGTGTAAATTCGGAAAGCGATGGACGCTTGGTGCCCGAGACATCAGTACTGCGTTGCAACTGTGCGCGGTGGTACCCTTCATACTGGCTTAATTTGGAACACTTTCGATCGATTCTACGATTAAGTTGCAAAATTAAAGGAACAAAATACTCTCTACCTCTGACAGTCGGGGCAGTACTTTAAATTAAAGCGAATCTTGAGACTTGCGTTTACTGATGGAAATCTGTTGTCAACCCCGGATGTGGGGCAATTTGGAACACCGCTTCCGCTAGCAGTTCTTCGCTTTGGAGAGCTCGACCATGACACCTGCTACATCTCTGTCTACCACTGAGGCTCGCACTGAGGCTCGGCCTTCATGAGAAGGACTACCAGCACACCTGGCCTTTGACGGCCGACTCGTAGTGGAAGCTTTGACAGCCTTGCGGGCTTCTCTTTCGCTTTTCTTTTCCGCACGTAATGAAGCAGCTTGGGCCTTTTTCTCGGCTGCTCTCTTGACTTTCTCCTCGCGATCCTTCTGCTTCCGATCTCTCTCAATCTTTTTTTGCCGTTCACGTTCATCTCGTTCCTCTTTCTTTCGCAATTTGTTCTCTTCCTTGCTCTTTTCTTCGGTTGCTTTCCTTTCAATTTCTCGCTTGTGTGCATTCAGTACGTCTGCGCTCGTCATGTATTTCGCGGGTGCGCCGCACATAAGCGCAACATTGCTCTGCTCATCAGAATTGTGGGCACTCGGAACAGGCTTCACAGACATCAAAATTGAGTTCACAGTCTCACGCCATGAAAGTTCTATTGCTAGGTTCTGTATCATTCTCGATGGCTCTTGCTTGTATCTCTTCACAATTTCCATAAAAGTTTCAGCAGCTTCGGCATCCAAACGCCTACGCTTGACAGATGGTAACCTTGCAGACACCTCCGCATCTTCGAAACCGCAAATGGGCTCCAAAACGTTCTCTTTCTCAGCATCAGCTTTTGTGCGGACTGCATTGATGAAACGGTAGTCCATCGGCCACAGACCCGTTGCTGCAAACGAATCCTTCACATTCTGCGCAGTGATCATCCTATGAGCTGCAATAGCCACCTTAAGTTTGAAGGACATTGATCCTGTGTTAACACGGCCACATTTCAACAGCTCATCCCTGACTTTTCGCACTGCAGCCTGAAACGATTTGTTAATTTTCTGGTCACACGGCTGCAAGAAGTGGGATGTATTCGCCGGAAGTATCACGGGGACGATGTTTCGCTTTTCACACTGCTTCACCCATTCGAAGTCCAATCTTGAGCTCTGTCCGTCAAGAAGCAAAACCCAAGTCTTATCATTCGGTACAAATTTTCTAACATATCGGTCGAGATGTTCGACAAAAAAGGGCATTATCGTTTGCTCCATCGAACCATTTTCGGATGTACGGAGAGCTGTGTCTCCTGGAAGCCACCCATCTCTCGCCAACCAGTGAGCAGAACTATCCGAGTTCTTAAAAATGGTAGAGTCAAGCGGCTCGTACCACTTTTTCATGAGCTTCTTACCGGCAGCAATTACAAATAGAGGAGCCATCCTACCGGATGCTGAGCCCGCCATTACTGCGGTCATGTGCTTGCTGCTCTTCTTGCTGCCAACTTGGAATCCCCCGTGTCTGGAATTCTTTCCAACAAATGTGCGTTCTCGAATTCCAAACTGTGCGTCCACTTTAGTTTCATCCATATTCCAGACCGGATCTGGGTCATCAAATATACCGGGGTGATCCTGTCCCACCTTTTGAAGCTCCCGTGCCAAAGTCTTAACGTGCTCGTAGTTTTCGCCCTTTATCTTAGCCGCTTCTTTGTTCTCAGCCTTTCTGTATGTTAATTCGGGGGTCCGTGCTCGAAAAGATCGAACAGCGTCGTTGGAAGGGATTCCGTTTTGGAATCCTTTTCTTCCATCTGCAGAGACTCGTGCCTGAATGGACCGCATCTGGGAGTTTGTGATGGCATAACCTTTCGCTGCTACAGTAATACAGCGCTCTGTAATCATTTTGTGCTCTTCTTTCGTGAGCACGGTCTCGCGCCCAGCCCTATTGTCGGCAGGATTCAAAAGTTTTTGCAAGGCGCCGTCACTATTTGTTTTAATGGCTTTTCGTATGCGCCAAGCTGTCGTTTGCTGAAGGCTGTGGGCTTCCATAACCTCCCTTATCGATTTGTTTTGCCTAAAAGAAAGTGCAGCATCTGCTCGCCGCTTTTTGACAATTGCAAGTTCCTTCTCTCTGCGCCTGTGATGCGCTGCTTGCGCTCGCATTGACTTCGGCATGGTGGATCTGTGCTTTCCACCATGTTGAAGTCAGTCCGCGTGGGGAGAGTGGCTGTATGAGACGGCGGGAGCTGAGGAATTCAAATTTGAACTAAGATGGAGACGAGGACAGTACTTATCATTGTCAACCGTGTTGTCAGAGGGCAAAGAGGTGGACAGATTTTACTGTATAGGGGTGTTCCAAATTGAACCTTTTTCCAAATATAGCCATTATGAAGGGTACTGTAGTGGGGAGGGTTTTTTGTTTCGTTATGAATGCGTGAGGAGCTTGCTTGATGGATGTTGCAGTCCATGTATGCGTCACAGTACAGTGAACCCTCTCGATATGGATACGCTCGGTGGACGTGATCCGTATCCATTTGCGGAGGATATTCACATCCGGAGACCGTATCATAACGTATCATAACGGTGTCACGGTGCATCTCTCAGAATGTCTGTGCTTTACTTAAAAAATGTATCTAAATGTATTGAATGCGCTCTGCTTGCGTAGTTATAAGATGACCTGTGATGTTTACCCTATTTGCTAATTGGGCAGAGACCCAAGCTGCGACTGCGCGTTCGAGATATAGGCTGGTAACTGACGCGGAGCGCTTGAACTTTTTTGTAGAGATACCGGGACGAAAACCATACTTTCCGTTGATGATGCGGGACATGACAGCTTGAGCAGGAGGTTTAGAAAGGGAAAACTGTACTGAGGCCTATCTCGCAAGGGCGCTTTGTGACGTCTGCTCGTTGCTCTTTTTGCGCCGTTGGAACTCTGCACATATTTGTTGCTTTTGGGCGAGGTTAAGCTCAGAGCGCTTCATCGACGATTGTCGCTTGACGGGGGCAGATGGCTACGGTGCTGACAACACGCAATGTTTGCGATCAGAGGAGATTTATTGGGGGAGGACCAACAGGAGTATATGCTAGAAAGATGTTTTTGTCGAGAATGATGATAATTGCGAAGCCTCAGACGGGGATTGGAATTTATTGAGCAGATTGTGAACTGATTGATCAAGAATGAATGGTTATGGGGTAATTTGTGCCTTGGCCGCTCAAAAGTAACCATAAAATACGTTTTAAGTAGGAGGGGTGTGTATGATATGCTTATTTCACATTGAAACCGATATCCAATTGAGGAATATTCCACAGACATTGTTTTTTGGTAAAAATTTGTAAGCTACGGAGTCCGTCGCTCGACTATTTATCCGTTTACGGAGGATATCCATATGGAGAATGATCCTTATCGGGAGGGTTCACTGTATGAAGTATCGACCTGCTTCCCTTTCAACACTCAGTAAACAACTCCAGAGGGATGCAAGCAAAAAAATAAATAAAAATAAAAAAAGAGGAGGAAAGTACGCGCACAGCCCTTGCCGCCCTTCATCCCACTCCCGCCGTCCCCACACAAGCGCTCACGCCAACAGACCTCCCCCTACCCCCAGACATCAGCGAGGGCCAAGTCCTCCGCGCTGCTCGGTCACTTAGAGCACCCCTATTGTCCTGCTAAATGTCCAAATATATCATATTTGGAAATTTGGCTTGGCATTTTGCAGCACTATTGGTCACCAAATATGCAGAACTGCACGCCAAATATGTAAATGGAGTTCTATCCATTGCGGAAAATGGAACTTACTTTAGTGTCTAGGTGACAAATGACCTCATATGAGGCCAGTTTTTAGGCGGGCTTTTGCAATTCGAATAATTGTAGAAATTTATCGCTACTGTAGTGAAAAGCTTACGACTAGAGTACTAAACGTTGGCAAACCAGAAAACATTCAATTCCGTATCTCAGTCTTCCCTAATCAACACTTTCGTCTTCCTCTTCCCTAAATTTCTTCAAAATGGTGAGCGTCAATGATCCTCGAATTATTGCAGGTAACCGCGTCCACACTCGTGCAAGACTGCTCACAGCTCAGAGTAAATGTCGGCGCATGTATGGAGCCTCCTGGAAGATCAAGTTGGTCCCGGGAACTGTCATTGGCATGAAAACTGACAAAGTGAAGGATCGCAGTGTCACTTCAGTCAGGGCTAAATGGGAATTATCAGATGGCGTCAAGGAAGTCACGCTTCGCATAGCTAACATCAAGGCTGGTGAAGTGATGTACTTGATCGATGACGGTCCTGAAGATCATATCGATCAAGAAACTGAACATTATGCGGGACCGGAGCCTACAGAGGACCGCGTGACGCCACTGGAAGGATCACTCAGCCCGAGTACGAGGATCTCCGAGAGAGACGAAATGGATTCCCAAGATGGCCTCATGAATGTCCACGGCCGGGCGTGGAAGCGTGAGGAAGTCACCATGCATTTAAATGGTATGATACCGCCGAGAAGATGGAAGGTGATTGGACCGATTGATGAGATTATATCCCGTGGTCACAGTCCATCTCAAATGCATCCCATGGACTACTTCATGTGGATGTTCCCACAGGAGCACTTGGCATTAATGGTTTCCTACACCAACGATGCAATGGAATCAAGGGGACTTCGTTTGACTACAAGAGGTGAAATTTTGAAGTTTTTCGGGGTACTAATCCTTATGACTCGGATTGAATTCAGCACCAGAAGGTCTCTTTGGAGCTCACAGGAAACCAGCAAATATCTCCCGCAACCTCAATTCGGAAACATCATGTCCCGCAGAAGATTCGAGGAGCTTTGTCAGAATGTCACGTTCAGCTTTCTAGCTGACTCAAATGACAGATGGGATATGATCAGGGACTTCATGGTCGCAATCAATGATCACAGAGCATCACATGTGATTCTATCACAGAACATCTGCGTTGATGAGAGTATGTCACGCTGGTATGGACTTGGAGGAGATTGGATTCAAACCGGTCTTCCTCATTAT